CCCTAAAACTTTAGGGAATTATTTGATATTTTTAAATTTAATATGAACCTATATTTTAATATTCAAGTATTCAACTTATTATAAAAGTGGTTATTAAAAATTAAATTCAGCACTAATTTTAAAGTGCAAGTACTCTACAAAAAGTAAAATAGAGCCCAACTCGTAAATTTTGCATAGGGTAATTTAATCTCATTTTTCACATTTCTAAGTTGCCACCACGTAAAAGACGATAGAACGAAACCTAAAAATAAAACTAAGATCATCCTCAAAGAATGACTGCTTACAATATGCATATATGCACTATAATTTGCATCCATCCCTTAAGGCCTGTCTGGTTAGGAGAAAGGGGAGGGTAGGCAAAAGATGGAAAGGAATTGGGAATGATTAGAAGGCTTACCTTCACCTTGTTTGGTTGGAAGAGAGAAAAGAAACCCTTATTTTTAACTGTAAAATTTACTCCCTTCGTCTCATAAAGATATGGATATATTGACTAAAGTGGTAAAATAAGGAAGGGATAATTTTGTGTTGATTTTTCAAAAATATCCTTGATGTGATGAGTAAAAAGTAGGATGTGATATGTAGATTATCAGAAAAAAGATATAATATGATACGTAGGGTATGAAAAAGTATGGGGTAAAAGTAGTTTTGTAATAGAAATGGAAGGACTTTTGGGGATACGGTTTTTTTGAAACGTGAAGGACTTTTTGGGATGGAGGGAGTAATTTTTTTCATTTTTTGTAATCTATAATTTATTTATTTATTTTATTATTATTATTATTATTATTATTATTATTATTATTATTATTATTATTATTATTATTGGTTTTACTATTATTATTGATTTTACTATTATTATTGATTTTACTATTATTATTAGAACTATTATAATTATAAGTTTTTTATTAATATTATTATCATTTATTGTTTTTAATTATTTTTTACTATTTAATACTTTTCTTTATTTAAATATTTATTACTCCGTATTATTACTATTGTAATTCTTACTATTTTGACATTTTCACTTTTGTAATTATTTTTTTAAATATTTACTATTTTTATTTTATTATTATCATTATTTTAAATGTATTTTTTAATTGCAAGATGAAGAAAAAATTGATGGATGTGTCAAGAAACCAATTCATCTAAAAGCTCAAGCTTGTGATTTTTTAATTTCAGGCATGACTTCTTTGAGTAGAGCCTTGCACGTGAAACCTTATTTTTTTTAAATTGGGTGGCGATGAGTTTCAAATTCGTGACCTCTTGGGCATTAAGACTTCGATATCATGTCAAGAAATCAATTCAACCAAAAGTACATGCTTATAATTATTGTTCAAGAATAATTTTTATGTACCCTAACGCGAAGAATAGAAGGAAGATGAGGGAGAATGAGTAGCCCTCTTATTTGGAGAGTGTCTTGATGCTAAAATTTTGAACCTCCTCCCTTTTATCTTTTAAACCAAACAATGGGAAGAGCTTAGTTTCACTACACTCTTCTAAAAAAGTACGGAGTATCTAATTGCAATTGGCTCTCGCCCCTGCGTTCCAAAACTTTCTCTTCATCGGGTATTCTAATTATTCTTTGTACCAATAAACCGACATTCATGGTCACGAACAAAAAAAGCCCAACCCTATTAAGCCATGCACTAATTAAAGATGAACAAAGGGAAAGCCACTAGATTATGAATAAAGCATGAAAAAAAATTAAAGTATTAAAATAGGAGTTTCATGTTTCTTATCTCTCGTGATAAGTGGTTAGAAGATCATTGAATCAGGTCGCTCATTTGTTAGCTAGGTCGTCTGATTCTGTGTCTGATTTTTTGGAGTGAGTGTCTATCCTTCCAACATGTATTTGTGATGTTCTCCAAGTTGATGTTATAAATTAATGATAGAATTCCTTTAAAAAAACATAGTAACAAAAAAATAGTGAGATGCCACTACATAGTGTCATAATGTTGTAGTGCAAACTTTTATTTTGGAGATAAAACATAGAAATCCTATTTGGAGGATAAATACTACTCCCTCCGTCCACAAATAAACTTCATGCTCACTATTTATATGGTCAAACTTTATTCACTTTGTTGACCTATTTTCGTCATCCATTTGATAAAATAATATAGTCATATTACATCGTAACGCGCAATAGATGGGAAGTGTATTTGTGGACAGAGAGAGTATATTTTACTTTTATTTTAGGTAATTTCTTAATACAAATGTAAAATATGTTACATCTTCCATTCCTTTTAATTTGAAGCTTCTCAGCTGACTTTTCACGATCTTTAATGTAATACTTTGATCATTAACATCTTTATTTATAGATACATATATTATTAGAGTATAATATTTCAAAACTATATTTTAAAATATAGCTATTGATATTAGATTATATCACAATTCAATGTATTTTTCTATTATTTGTAGTAAAAATATAAAACGATGACCTTGAAAGTCAAATGGAAAATATTCAAAAGAGACTAATGTATCTTAAATAGTTGAATAAACCTAGGGGTACACCAAAATGGGGTACCCCATTTGTACACCAGGCAAATGTCTGTGTATCATAGACACTAAGTGTCTGTGTTTATCTGTGTTTACCTAATATACAAATTAAATGGAGTACCTCATTTTGGTGCATCCCTGGCATGACCCTTAATAGTTTACAAAAGAAAGGATGGAACTGTGGAATACACTTTATTACGGGTATTATCCATCTATGTTGCGTCTTCTTTGGCTTAACTTATTAAATCTGATCTAATCTGAATAATTCGGTCCTATCTCATTTGAACAAATCTTATATGATATGAATAAATCTAATTTAAATTTAAATAAAAAATATTATTATTATTTTAATAATAAAAACTATTATTATTAATTTTATAATAAATATTATTATTTAAATTATTACTTTTATTATTATTACTTATTAATTCTTAATAATTATTATTAATTATTTACTAGTACTATTTTTATAATTATTCTAATTATTATTTTAAATATTGTTATTATTATCATTATTATTGTTGTTATTATTATTATTAAATTTATTATGAACTATTAATGTTATTTATTTTTACTTATTATCATTTTCCCTATTTATTTTTTAGTTTTTATTTTTAAAATTAATATTTATTATTAGAATTTTTATTATTTGAAATTCGAATTAATTATTACTTTTATTAGTGTTATTATTTTAATAATAATAATAATAAATTATATTATTATTACTATAGTAATTGTGATAATAATAATAACAACAATAATGATAATAATAATTAATATTATCATTAACAAAATAAGTGATCTAAGGGGCTCAGGTGGCAAGGGGTTTTGGGGGATGTTAGGGAGGACATGAACCATCAACTTTACCAACAAAGCACCGTAGATGTTCCAGGTCATAATATGACCTTGGTTTCAAAGGCCAAAAGATCCATGCCCTATTATTAATTATTATTATTATAAGTTATTATAATTATGTATTTTGTTCCGAATTGATCTATCTGATTCAAATTAGTAATTAAGTAATACTCCCTGTGTCTCAATTTAAGTCGCATATTTCGGTTTACAATATGTGAATGAAGTTGTTTTAAATGCAACTTATTAGAGAATTGGGATAGAATTAAAAAAGAAATTTTAATTTTAAAGCTTTCCGAAAACAGAGGTGACATGATTGCATCACTTTATCAAATAAATAACGAAAATAGAAAATAATGTGAATAAAGTTTGACCATATAATTAATGAACAAATAATTCAATTTGGGACGGGGGAAGTAAATAGCAAAATTGCAAAAACAAGCTGAAGAGTAGGGGACCCTAGTTATTGATTAATGTTAATTAATAATAGTAAGAGGTGACAATAAATAAAAGTTATCGAGAGGAAAGAGAAAAAATTGTAATCAAATGGGGACGGGGGGAGTAGAAGAAAGGTTTTCAGGAATAAATCGTCCGAATGTAAATTGCATGCTTACAGTCCACAATTCACATGGTCAAACTTTATTTATTTTCTTTTCCTATTTTCAATATCATTTGATAAAATAATATAGTCATGTCACCACTAGTTTGTAGATAATGAATCACTCTAATTAGGAATAAAACATATACTCTCTCTCTTTCTTAAAGTCATTCATCTTTCATTATTTTTGTTTTCCTTAAAACACTTCCACTTTCTTTTAGAAAAGCACATTTACCAATATATTTTTTACCTTACATATCGCATCATACATTTTTACTAATAATCTATTTATCACATCTTACTTTTACCCAGGACAAAATTGAAAACTCAACTCCAAAAAATCTTTCCTTATTTTTGCCCAAAGTCAAATTTTGAATTGTTTATCAATACGGAGGGAGTGGAAAGTACCAAAATAGGAAATCCATATTTTTACCCGCTAAATTGGAATTCGCATTTTGGTAATATGACATTGCACATTAACATGTTACAATACTTTTATTTGAAAAATGAAAACATAGAACCCCTATTTTTGAATATTTCCAATGTCATACTTCTATTTTAGTCATTTTCCCTTCATATAAAATGACTTAAAAATAATTTCTCTCAATTACTTTAAACTGAAACAAGCGGTTTAAATTAAGACAAAGGGAGTAGCTAATCGGTGTGAAAGGAGGTGATTTAAATCATTAATTTTACTAACATACACCCTCCGTCCCTAAAAGATTGACATAATTTGATTTTTTCGATTAAACTGTGGTATTTTTTGACCATAAATTAAATATAGTTTAAAATAATTAAAGAATATAAAAATGCAATATTTAAAAATAACATTTTTAAATAAGTTAACATTGTTAAATTTAGGTTATAGCTAAATATATTTTTTCATAATTCACGATCAAAAGATGTCACAGTTTGATTTTGACAGAATAAAGTTAAACTATGATAATCTTTTAGGTAGTGATGGTGTAAATTACTTGACCGGTCAAACTATACTAGACCGGGTCTAGAATAGTTCGCTTGATTTGGCAAAGTAAGAAAAGTAAAAACACGCAAAGTGACCAATAGGACTTTAGGTGGAACACCTGTAGCCCAATTTATATTATAACGGAGAATGCACGGGTGCTTTTACAAAGGAGTTTAGAGAGTGAAATTCGGATCCCCTCATTCGAGAGTTACAAGAGGTATATATACTAGGCTGGGGAGCAGGACCACGTGCGCCCACGTGGGAGCATGCTGCTGGCGTGGTGTGAAGTGACTGGCTCTGCCTTGTCATCTTGCGCGGCGGGTGGCACCCTTGCCGCGTTCTGGTTTGGAAATATTCCCTCAGCATCCCTGCAATTCCAAACACTACAGTCCAAGTCCTTTTGGACTCCTCTTGCCGACACTTCCCCAATCTCTAGGAACTACACCGGTTGGTTCTTGCAGGCTGGCGTGGCCATCTTTGTAGGGTGAATTAGCCGCCGGTATAGGTTGACCGGTATACTATCCCAACCGTACCGGTCAACCTTTTGGTCAACCAGTCATCCCTTCGCCGACGATCTAGACCTCTCTTGCAAGTTTGACTTCTTTGACCGGTCAACTATCCGGTCTTGACCGTTGACCGGTCATGGGTGAAATACACCCATCATTAAGCCCTCCACTTCTCGGTTGTGCAATTTTGTCATAAGCGGGAAGTAAAAACTTAAAACTGGACCTTTAAATTTGAATTTTTGGCTTTTCCCGCTCGAAATTTTTGAATTTCAAAATTCAAAGTGTCGGTTATGACACGTGTTGCCCGCTGGACGGCGTCAGACCTGCGCCCTTTCGTCTTCCCAGGTGCAATGATGGCGCCGCCTGACGCGGCGCGCCCTGGTGAAGCCACGTCGCCTCCCTCTCTCTCTTCCTCGCCTATATAAAGGCTTCCATCCCTACTGCCTTCCTCACTTCTTCCTCGCGCGTTTCTCGAGTTTCACCGGTCAACTTCTCTCTCCTGCCCTCCAGCCCTCCGAGCCAAGTAAGCTCTCTTCCCTCTTCAGTTTTCATTCCCGGTCAATGTCTTCTTCTGATAGTCAAGGTATTTCTTCCTCGGATGCCT